CAGAGAGATTAAGAAAAAAAGACTCTGCTTCATCTATTCTAAATCAGAATATCTTCACATAAACTGTTCAGACAAATCAAAATAGAAATTTGAGAAGTCATAGACAGAGTCAGTAACAGTCTTCTTAAGAGTCTTAAAGCTGACATCTGAATCTGTTACTTCTTCAATGAAAATGCTTACTTATGAAAAGAGACTATATCACAGTACTGCTGTCTTACAAGTATGAAAAGTATTAATAAACTCAGAATCTCAGATCACTGTAATGTCTCTAAAGCTCATGAAGTGAATGAACTGAAAGATGAAGACTGAGAATCTGCTCTTATAATAAACAGAGTGTGAGAACTCAGATCTGAGAGCTGAGAAACTTATAAGAGTTATTTTTGAATTACAAGATCTCTCTGAAATCTGAAGAAGATTTATAGAAACTGTGATTATCACAGACATTGCAGATAATATGTACTTAAGACTTATATAACTTCAAAGACACAATTCACACATAGCTGTCTATAAGTCAGGTTTATACTTTCAATCAGTGTTGATAGACTCACTTATAAAAATAGAATCAGTTAATGCTGTAGAGTTGATTAGAGAGAACAAGCTCATCTATATAATGACTTTACAAATATCTGAGAATCTTGCAGTCATGAAAACTGAGCTTCAGATATTAGAGAAATACTGAGATCTCACAGAGATATTCAGCTCAGTAAAGGCAGCTGAGCTTCTCTCTCACTATGAGAAGAATTTAATAATAGATTTGATAGAAGAGTAGAAACTCTTCTGAGAATCAATCTATAAACTCTCTTATCATGAGATAGAGATCTTACAGATCTATGTAAAGAAGAATCTGAAGAATAACTTCATCTGATCTTTACAGATCTTCACAGAAGTCTCTGTGATATTTATAAAGAAGAAGAATAAAGATCTCAGATTATATATAGATTATCATAATCTGAACTTCAAGATAATAAAGAGCTGCTATTCTCTGTCTCTGATTGAGAATGTAATTAACTGTCTTATGAGAGCTGTCATATTCACATAACTAAATATAATCAATGTATATACACAGCTGTGAATACAGTCTGAAAATGAATGAAAGACTATCTTTAGAACTGCACTGAAATTGTTTGAATATCTAGTAATATCTTTTAATCTGACTAATATTCTCACAGTATTTCAGTCTTTTATTAATAAAATACTTCATACATATCTGAATGTCTTCATAATAATATATCTGAATGATGTGATAATGTACTCTGTGAAGAAGAAAGAACACACTGAGCATGTGCAAAGTATGTTGAAGATCTTAGATGAGATAGAACTGTATGTTAAGCTTATAAAGTATAACTTCAGTACCTGCTGAATTAATTTTCTAGAATATATAATCACTGTAGATGATATTCAGATGAAATCTTTATAAGTTAAGACTATTCTATTATGACTGAAGCTAACTAGTATTCATGAGATTCAGATCTTTCTGAGCTTTGTGAATTTCTATAGACAGTTTATCTTTGTATTTACAAGAATCTTCTTGACTCTTATAGATATACTGAAGAATGAAAATAAGAAGAAGTTATTCTATGAACAGAGAATGAAAAGATTATTAAGAAGAGAGAACTATAAGAACTTTCTTATCTCAGAAGCTCACAGAGTCTTTACAAGATTGAAACAGATATTTATAAACACAGTGATACTGTTTCACTTTGATTTCTTACTCTTAATCAGATTGAAGATAGATATCTTCTTCTTTGCAATTTCAGAAATAGTCTCATAACTAGACTGGCCGCCGGGACCATGAATTTCATGTTTGGTCCCATTTGGTCTGGTCTCATACATTTCTTGGCGTGAATCCCGCTGAGACTAATCATTAAATAAACATGCAAAGTGACTATATATCAGATCTCAAAATGAAACCATGACTTGAAAAAAATGAGAAAGTGATCCCATTTGGTCCCATTTAGTCCCATTCTTGGCATAAAGTTACTATTTTTAGACATTTTAAGGTTTTTTTTAGACTATTTTTAATTTTTTAAAAAGTAACGCTTTTTGGTAACACTCAAATGAGATTTAAAGCCATTTAAAGCAATAAAAATAATTTAAATTGAGAAGTGAAAATCATGATCTCATTTGGAAAATGTGACAAGAGTAGACAGTAAGTCTCACTGAGACAGTATGGAACTACTATCTAATGTTAGAACCGTGTAATGGGATCTGTCGAATTGACAATGAGACTATCAAAAATTCTGATCCTGGTCCCAGACACGGTCACACGGTCAGTCTACTCATAACTACAGTTAAATAAGAACTGAGTTTCAGTGATCTTTTTTTCATAGAAGATGCAATCTGCAGAGATCAACTATAACATTCATAATCAGAAGCTTCTTATAATAGTGAAATTCTTTCATCACTGATATCACTACTTTGAGAGTCTTGTAACAGTGATTACTGTTAAAACTGATTATAATAGCTTATAATAGTTTACTTCAATTAAGAAACTCTCACAGTAGCAGATTCACTGAGCTCAGAGACTAAGTGAGTTCTGATTCAAGATAGAATATATTAAGAGAACTAAGAACTCAGCAGACAGACTCTCTTACAGATCAGACTATATTAAGAAGATCAGAGTAATAGATATAGAGAGACTAGAGAAGATAGAAAAGCTTTATAAAATGCTCAGACTGAGTATTGTAAAGAGATTGACTGAAGAGTCTCTTAATTCTTTATAAGAGAAGAGAAGAGAGAGAGAGAAGAAGTCTGTATAACTACTCTCTATAATACTGAGAGTCAACACTCTGAGAATCTTCATGAGAATTCTTAGAGAGAGTATCTATAATCTGAAGAGTTTACAGACTTTAAGAAGCACTGCAGAAGACCTAATATAAGAGAAAACAGAGTATAAGTCTTTATAAAATCTTCTATTCAAATTGTCTGAACTGTAACTGAAGAATGAATATACTCAGTATATTTAAAAACTACTCACAGCAGAGATCAATTCTGCAGAAATAAAGAATTGAAGAGACTTAAATAGTCTCTTATAAAGAGAGAGCTGAATTTATATATCTGTAAATAAGTTTCTATACATAGAACTTATTAAAAGATATCATGACTCTTCTCTAGTGAGTTATTTTACAAACACTAGAACTTATAAGTTACTTATAAGAAAATACTTCTGATCAAAGATATAAGAACTTGTAAAGAAAATAGTGAATTCTTATACTATTTATCAGAGTTCATAGATAGTATAGTTCAGATAATATAAAGAACTTACTTCTCTACTCATCTTATAAGAATCTTGAGAATAGCTAGAAATAAATACTCTTATAAGTCTCTCTAAAAGTAAGAATATATATAATATCTGTTTTAACAGTGTGCTGATGATAGTGAATTACTTTATTAAGATAACATACTTTATACTCACTCATAAGAACTTGAAGTCAAAGAATTTAACTTATATCTTTATTCACAATGTAATTCAGTTGTATGAATTATCTATAAATATTATCTCAGATAAAGAATTAATCTTTATAGAAGAGTTCTGATCTGATCTGATAACTATACTAAAGATCTTATGAGATCTAAGCACAGCTTTTCATCAATAGATAGATGATTAAATAGAATATCTGATAAGTATATTAAAATAGTATCTATAATACTTTGTTAATTATAATCAGAATGACTGAGTACATTGATTATCACTTATAGAGTTTATATATAATAACTCAAAACATGTCAGCACAGATAAAACTCTCTTTAAAATACTCACTAAAACTTATCTGCAGATAATCTTGATAAATCTGTAAGAGTATACTATAGAGTGTGATAATATCTATGAATAAGCTGAGAGAATTCAGAATATCTGAGAGAAAGTCTGTGAATTCTTGAGAAAGACTCAAGAGTATCAGTAGAGATACTATAACTTTAAGTATATTATAAAGAGTTTTAAGAAAGATAATAGAGTCTGACTAAGTTTAGAAAATATTATTATATAAAGATCTAGTAAGAAGCTGAATCTCTTATAAACAGAGTCTTATAAGATTATGAAGAAAGTTAGCTTATAGTTCTACAGATTAAAACTGCTATCTGAGTTATAGATATATAATATTTTTCATATCTCTTTACTCTGTAAATATAAGAAATTCTTAGAAGAGAATTCTGTGACTCATTACTCTGTTTATAAAATACTAAAGAGTGAAAGAGAATATCAGATTAAAGAAATTATTAACTCAGAGAAATAAGATTATAAGCTCTGATTCAAGATTCAGTGATAAGAGTATTCTGATAAGATAAATAAGTTCACTTAAGAATTATTCAGACAGATAAGATATCTGCAGAAGCTGAGATATAACTTTTATACTATGAATTCTGATAAGTTAAAATAATACAGTCTTCACTAAGAACCTGATTATAATAAAGATATTAACACTGTTATTTATAAATTCTAGTCTATAAGATAATGAGTTTCTACTGAAATGAACAGTCTGTGATGTATATAAGAAAAGAAGAAATTATATTCTTATTAAAGTTAAAAAATAAGAAAATAAACAGAGCTGTGAACACAATTTAAAGATTAATAAAGAAAAAATAAAGAAAACTCAAATTCACACTCTTAACACTCATAACACTCAATTTTCTCATAACTATCAATTTTCTCTTTTAAAGAAGCAGAGAGTATCATGTCTGTGATACAGATAATTATTATATTTAACACAAAGATTATCAGAAATGCACAGACTTCAGAGAAGCTGAATATCAGAGTATACACAGTTATAGCAGAATCTTGAGAACTGGCTGTCTGCATGTATAATCAGATATCTCTTATAAAACTGTGTTCACTTTCTCAGTTATACTGAAGTATTCAGCCTGAAAATAATTGAGATGCAGAGAGAGAGCTCATCTGCTCAGATTAACTCTTATCATAAATTCATGACATTCACATTGCCTTGATTACCTGGATTTTGCAGGTACCTGGGGACTTATCTCTCATTGACAATGGAATTGCAGAAATGCACTGCGGTGTGAGAATCATTGATGAGAAACCTAGGCATATTCACATATGCCTGGTCAGAGATTGTGCGGGCAGGGGGGGGGTGGTCGTAGGCCCGCGGGGCCGCAGGAGGCACTGGCAACACCGGGAGCTTCGCAAGAACTGTCAGCTAGAGTCTGCAAGGAGGACTGCGCTGCTTGGAGCCAGGGGCTGGCCTGGGGGAGAGATGGGGGGGGCCGCTGGCCCGAAGATCGGGTGCGGTGGCGGGGCTGGGGGGGGTGGAGGCGCGGTCGTGGGCGGCGGCGCCCCTGCTCCACCAGCCAGCAAAAAGCAATCAGAGGAGTCACAGAGACACCTATGAGAAGCTCAGCAGTGGCCAGACATTGTTGTGAAGATATTGAAATTGAAAAATTTTTATTCTTGAAAAGTTCTTGAATTAATATATGAACATTGTCAGAAACACTCTCTCTCTGTTATCTGAGTGAAAACACTTTATGAATAAATGAGAATACTCATAGTTTATAAGAATGAGAGCTGTTACAGAAAAAGAGAAAAGAAGATGAGATTTTATAAACAGATCTGAAATATTTATACTACTCTAGAGAGATTTGCTTACACTGTGAGTGATTTCATGAAATAGTCAGATCACTTTAGTAAATAAGAGTGATTATAAATCACAGATCTGAATCTTTCTATATAATAATAAAGAGTAATTACAGACTGCAGACATCTTAATTCTACAATTCTACAGAGTTAATGAAAGAATGAAAAATTCCTCATAATTCTACAGTGTCAAAGAACAATGATTTATGAGAATAAGTGAAAGATTAACTTATAAATATTTCTCTTTAATAAGAATAATCTTACAGAGAGTAATTCATCTGTAAGATGAATCTATGTAATAATTATATAAAGAATCTTATGAAAATAATTGAGAGTTAATCAGAACTCTTCTGTATGAAAGATGTAAGATAAATCTATGTAATAGTTAGAGAAGAATCTGTAGATTATAAAGAATCTCATGAAATAAGAAACTAAGTGATAGACTCTTTTCTCTTCACAGTAATAAGGAATTTTTTCCTCACTGAGATTTTTATAGATATAAAGGGTTTTTAGTAAGTATTACTACAGTACTGAGCTGATTCTATGAAGTCACTCAGTGAAAGACTTCACAGATGAAGTCTTAGATAGAAGAGAGTATGTAAGAAATCTTACTTCTCACAGATTCTTTATTCTTATTTCTATCTCTTATATAATCAATAGAGCTAGCAGCTCTTGACTACACACAACTATATAGACTGAAGTTCACAAATACTATTCATAACTCAGCTTGAATACTATTATATATTTGATTTCTACATTTTATCTTTCTACTGTGAATACTTCTAGTAGTTAACAGTACATATCACATCAAGCTGCAAACACCCGAATAATCGCCTGCGAGCACTTATTCTTACAATTAAGACTACAAGAATCTAGTGCAGTGAATAAATTATTAGAATATAAAGAAGACACTGCTCTTGCAGAAGAGCTTTCATCACATCTTATAACTAGTATTAAGAGATTCTTTTAACAGATCTGACTTGTGTCTGATACAGAAGATTCAACAGCTATATACAGTTTATTCAGCACTGTTTAATAATCTTCTAAGAATGAATAAAGAATCAGATAATAATGATAATTCACTAAACTACTCTATTAAGTTAGAGTTAATAAAAGATTATATTATTCTGAAGATTTTTAGTCATCTATTATTAAGCAAGATATTAGAGAAAGTTAGTATATAATTTATAAATCTCTTTAAGCTTAAATTACTTCATTCATTTCTTAATAATCTGTGAGAATTCTATGATACTGATTGAAATAAGTTCTCAGTTTTAAAACTAAGTCACTGTTCAATTCTTTTCTATAATAAGTTAATATTCTCAGTTCAGTATATCTCTTCAACTAATTAATTAATCAGTTATTGACTTATTAATATATAAATCAGAGAGTATGTTTACTGAATCTCTCTTATAAAGAGAAATATTCTTTAATATCAGAGAGCTGATCTTGACTGAATTATAACTATCTTTATTTATAAAATGAGAGAGATTAAATAGATTTTCTTTATACTTACTTCTTTATATCATGTCAGACAGAATTATCTGCTGAATCTGCTGATTTTATAAGAGAATTCTGATAGTTATACTATTATCAGACTTTCAGTGATTCAAAAGACAGTATTATATGATATTTTAATACTGAATACTGATGAAAATAATGATTATTTAATATATGAATCTCAGATAATAAGATATTTACATTGCACTTGAAATGTCTCATTTCTTTAGATAGTAATTTGATTTGTATGAAGTAGTTAACTAGTCTAGCTGAATAGTATACAAGTATTGATTTCACTGACAGAACAGTATATCATGGCTCACAGTATCTCAGTAGTATCTTGATAGTGACATCCGCCAATTACATGGTGACTGAGCTGTCCCCTGATGATGTCAAGAAGTCCTGTGCCATTTCAACACCATCTTGACATTTAATATTCAGTGATGTGTCACTGAATATAATGATGGAACATGTGTTACAATCGGCGACACGTGACACGGGTGGAATGGTGGATCCACGGTGTAATCACCGTAAATTAACCCTACGTTCTTCCCGTATGGATGCTTCCGGATCAGCACAGTGATCACACCTGCACCCAGCGACAAGACGGAATACTCCCTCACAAGATACCTGCCAGCAGAACTTGTTTTTCAATCATATCCACCGCAAATTCGCCATTTTCCCGGAAAATGGAAACGGCTTTTTTTGCCAGAGGTACTCCAGGTGCTTCGTAGCAGTTTGAACCACAGCGCTTTTCACCCCCAGGAGGCACCGGGGCGGCCGTGTCATAAACATCCTGAATACATTCAAGGAATAATTCACTCAAGCCAAAATTTCGTCAATTTCGACTCGAATTCAACCAATGCTTTGGCCTTCAAGTCTTCCATGAGAAACATGTCCGTTACCGAATAGACTCTCGCATACTAGTCCTATTTTCCCGGTCGCTGGTTACTACCAACCTGCTTACTAACCATGATTTTAAGCATTGATGGGGTCGCCGTTTCGTCTGACAGGCAAACGTTGATCTGCGTTATTTTGGGCAAGATGACTGGCATTATTTCGGTTCTCTTGTTCTCCACCACTACAGGATTATCACCGATCTCTATGCCACTAAATTCCTCATACCCATTTCGCTTTTGGATATAACTCTTTTATCCCTCTCTAATGGCTGATAACAGTTCACCGTAGAGCGGAAGTGGAACGAAGGCAGGCAGAAGAGCGAGAGAGACATGGAGGAGAGTACTAATAGAGAGTGGTGGTGACATGATTGATAGAGAGCACATGTCCTTCTCCAGGTAACTTTTGCTGAGGCTTACAAAGCTAGCTTGACTTGGTTGGCTGCCATCCTCATCTAAAAATGACGGGGACTATGAGGCACCAGAATGTACTCCACGAGGGATCTCATCAATGACAGACCGGATCCTTTTTAGGTGGTCTGGCATCCATATATCGTAAACATCACAAGACCCTAGAACCGCATTCATCTCATACGCCAGAGCATACGCTAGAGCTTTCCTTAACACTCCAAATAATGTGCCAGAAATCACAGATGAAAGGACCACCTTCTTCTAAAAGTTCCAGGAAACATTCATTCTCACCAATTTGACCAAGAACAGAAACAACATAACATGTTGTGAAATTCCTCATGGCATCAACCCTACTGCCTTGATTTGGTGGTGTGTTCAAGTAGACAAATCGAACAAAGTCAACAATACCACTCACTCCAGTGTCATACAGCTTGAAGGTTCTCAGTGTTTGATGCAATTTGGAAAGGACCAGCTGGCACAACAAGTCTATGCCATATTTGTCAGCCAGCACGTACAGTCGGGCCTGTTTGAGAAACACAGGGGTGAAGTCCTCCCAGGGTCCGGTATTTTCAGGTGGTGTGAAAGTACAGCCCAAGTCGCCACTTTGCGGGCTCGGAATGATGAGGCTCCTTACAAAAGCATCGCGCAAATGTCCACTCCAGATGCTTCTCTCCTTGTATGGAGTTTCCGGATCATTGCAGGCGTCGTCTTCAGATGCAGATTCTAATTCTGGAGGTTCGTCCCAGTTCACATTCGAGCGACGGTTATTGCGTTTCTTCTTTTCCTTCGCGGTTTCTGTGACCTTTGTGGGAGGAGACGCCATCGATCAGGCGATATGACGGCCGTGTGTAGTTTCGTAAATACACATATTCACATAACCGAGCGAATGTGTATACATCGACCTCTGACCAGACAGCGTGTCCAGTTTTTGCCTCTTTCATTTTACCGTTTATAAGAGTATTCAGGCTTTGAGAAAGCCCTGCCAACGCAGAAGAATGCACGGTTAATTCCTTCTTATTGACACCAACAGTGAAGGTGAATAAGGGCGAAGAAAGACATCCAAGAGTGTTAGACCCTGACCACGTCAAGATTGCCACAGATCACCCACCTCCCAAAGGCGCTCTCCATCTAGAATGATGATAACCAAGAACGCAGAGCCAAAATCACCGTTTCATGTAAGAGGAGTGGTGGATATGACCAGCATTTGCAAGATAGTGTTTGTGCTTAAATCATTTCATCCCACACTATGAGCGATACTCACATCTGTAACAAGGGATAGATGAGTTTGCGGCGGTAGGACTGGAATTAAAAACGAAAAAAATAGAGAGAGAAAAATTTGGCGGGGCATGTGGGAACATCTCAAAATGACGCATTTATGCATGATGCAGAGTAGTAGTTCGTTATGTAATCCAGCTTAATGATCACAAGGGAGAAGTCTCCCACGCTTCATTATCACGCCTCACATCTATCTTCCAAACAACATGCCGACCGAAACAAAGAAGAACCCCCTCGCCTCCAGAATGCGAAGGCGAACTTAATTATTTAAAACAACATGCGGATAAAGTCACTGAATGGCGAGCGACACCTGATTACTCTGAAGAAAAGCATGGAGCCTCTGAATGCTTCGAAGATTAAAACAATACTACATGCAGGTAAGGCAGATGTGAGTGTGATATTACCTTAAATGGGTAAATATGAAACTGATCTGTATGGCAGCCCTCAAAATCCAAAAATTTTGAGAATAGGTGATCACACTCGGTTTTGAGCTAAGAGCCTTATGAGCCTCATTTCTATATTAAATAATCTCATGATATTCACTCCTTCTGATGAAAAGTCAATAATAACTGTTTCAGTTGAGAAAATTGTAGATATCAAAGAAATTATTTTCTATATACACATCCGTGTTGACTTACTCATTATTAAAGAAATTATAGAGAAGATAATAACAAAGTATAGAGAATGAAATAAATGAAATATAATGAATATTCATGAAACTTTGTATCAAATAATCTGAACTTAGAATTCTGTTATGTATCACAGTGATTATACTTGTTAATATACTAATTTTATGTAATGAATGAGAAGTAAACATGAGAATAAAAACATAAAATTGTTAGAAAGTTATAATGTAATTCTTTCTAGTGTAGCTAGACTGACCATGTGATCATATCTGAGACCAGAATCAAACTTTACAGTTATCATATTATCTAAAAGTATTACTTCTGATCATGATTTGTGTTCATTACATTGATCTCAAATCATGTTATTTCAAATATTAAAGATTTCAAATTCACTTTTCAAATAAAAATCTAGTCTCAGATAAAGAATATGTTTGAATTCTTAGTTAAA